AAATGGATATTTTGTCGTTCTCTATCAAAGCCTGGCAAAGTTTCAGTTTCAATGTTGTAAGGGGGAAAAAGTTGCATGTGTGTCATCCACATGGGAGGCACCGAGTGGGGCGTAAACGATAAAGCAATGGCAATACACAAATAAGCGAGCAACGAGGACCACACAGTATCAGCAACAAAAGTAGCAGAGATAAAATTTGCGATCAATCATTGGTTGTCACATTTTTTCACTTTCTCCGCTCCTCGGCTTTTATATCCTCCCCCTTTCTGTTGTTCCCACGTGAAAAAAATCTGCAATAAAAAGGAAAAAAGCTTCTATGAAAATAAGACATACTGGTCTTCGTACTGTGTTGGGAATTTTCATCCGGTCAAACCTGTGAAAATTACGAAAATTCCCGGCATGGCAGAGAGTTACTTTCATTTATTTGAAAATAAATATCGACTGGCAAAACATACGCATCATGTATATAAACGAGACCCCGTATTCATCGCTAGTTTCGAACGTTTTTAGTCAGAGACGATTATCCTCGCGGTACTCAGTCGTTCACGCTGCACATTGTGTAACTATCAGAAAACACCCTTTGAGTAGAGTCTGTTAAGAGTCACAACCAACCGTTGAAATCGATGCAGATTCCTCGTAGGGCTTCACACAAACTCATCAATAATTGCCGGTCCAAAAAGCGACCTGTCTGATATGCACGGTCTCCATTACGTTTGATGCTGTCATCTATATCACTTTTCTAAACACGTAAAGCCTTTTGTGGTATGACCAAGTTCTGGATCTGACGTCAGCAAAAGTTCTTCGAGGAAATGCATAAAGTCTGAAGGATCGTAACTAATCTGCACCGACCCGGAAGGTTAAAAACAGCTCTGATGTTATCCCAGTCGATATCGCATATTACCAATTTGTGCTACGTCACAAAGTGACTTGATTCAGGCTTTCAGTTTTTCTATGATCATGATATTCGCCCCAATTGAAGGTACCTCAAAACAGGGTGTGCCAAACCTCAGAGATAAAAACTATTCTTCAGCTTAAAGCAACAGAGTAACCTCATGTTTTTGCATCAGCTATGGAATTTCCTGATCCTACAATAGGGTACAATTGGTATTCGAATCATGCTTTGTTGATGTCGATCTCATACATGGTGATCTAGGGCTAAATATATAAGAAATTTCATCAGTAAGGCAGACTATCGCGTGACAACTATAGGATGGCTTACTGCTGTCTGCTACGTTTGAAGCCATCACAACTACATTAAATCGAAAAAGGAGGAATGATGAAAGCTGACCTGTCCAAACCTACAATTCGCGAGGAAGTGGATATATCTGGAGCTGCGAATGCAAAATCAAGCTAGAAACCCGCAAAGTTAATCTGCATTTTGAATAGAACATTAGACTATTAGACTCTAAACTGACAACAAAATAAAATTTCACGCGTGCGTCACCTCATTTTCTAACCCCATTCGGTGTGCGTGCCGCAGTGATTGGACAACCATTAAGCGCCTGTTTGGCAGCGCGCCGATTACCGGTAGTCGTCACTGAGGTCGGTGGTGCTAGCGCCATTGTGGTGGTTGATATCTGGGGTACAGTGGTCTCCACCATCGCGGTGGTGGTGGTGGTTGAAGCGCTCCGTGTTGCCGAATCTGTCTGTCGAATCCCAGGTGGAGCTGGGGGTGATGAGGACTGTCTGGACGGGCTTGTCGAACCCGGAGTATCACGAGGGGCCCGATTGGACGGATCGGAACCACTTGGATCGGAAATAGGCTGATCAGTCTCTTCTGCGCGACTGTCTTCTGAGGTGGGTGAACTGCGAATGGCTGAAACCGTGCTTGTGCGAATATACACATTGTGTTTACAATAGGGAAACAGATAACGAAAATGCAGCTGGTTAAGAAGAGTCAAGTCCAACATATTTTCATTCATTTGAGTGAATAATTATAGCTTGCTGTGAAGTGAAATCAAAGGTGTACGGAAAATACTTCGGTTAATCTCGTCTAAAAATAGGAGTGGAAGATTAGAAATTGTAGAAGATTGAACAGGATAGAAATATCAAACATCAATGGCCACCAAAATCAAGCGCCTCAAATAGCTTCGGCCGAGGAAGTCCTACCCACTGCCTTCTCGTAGTGCTGTTAACCATAAAGTGGGAGGGCAAAGGCGAATGCCTGGTGCTTTCCAGCGGGTTGACCGACCATTGGTAGTCAGCCTAGGGGAGTTGGAAAAACCCTGATTCCAAACCAACTACACTTGGCGTAAGCTCATAGTGCCAACATTTCTCGGCGCGATCGAACCGCTTTACAAAGTTCACCTTTGAAGTTGATCACCGTGGAGCTCACCGGCAAGTGTGCGGCTCAATGGTAATCTGGATATCCTGGATAGTTGGCCAATCCTGTTCAGACAGTCACCAGCTTTCAGAGGATCTTGGACTCCTTGCTCGACCCCACTACCTTGCGGGTTAGGTTTTCAACCAAAGGCTCCCTCAAGAAAACCGTCTACTTTGGCTTTGAGACAGCGAGTAGCAACACGCACACAGAAAATTTAAACTTGGTCTTATGCATTCACTCAGAATTTTACATTCACACAAAAGCCTCCTCTTCGCAACATCTACAGTCAGCACTTCCAATCACACCCCATACAACACCAACAT